ATAATAATAATAATAATAATAATAATAATAACAATACTACTACTACTACTAATAATAATAATAATTATAATAATAATAATAATAATAATAATAACAATACTACTACTACTACTAATAATAATATTAATATTAATAATAATAATAATAATAATAATAATAATAATAACAATACTACTACTACTACTAATAATAATAATAATTATAATAACAATACTACTACTACTACTAATAATAATAATAATTATAATAATAATAATAATAATAATAATAATAATAACAATACTACTACTACTACTACTAATTATAATAATATTAATAATAATAATAATAATAATAATAATAATAATAATAACAACAATACTACTACTACTACTACTACTACTACTACTACTAATAATAATAATAATAATAATAATAATAGTAATACCACAAATAATCCTAATTTGCCCTTTTGCTGCTAAAGAAACATGCATACTCCTGTGTAAGTTGACTATACGTTTGATCAGGTGCTCACATGCTAAAGTTACCAGGGATTAATAAACATAAACAGTGAGCAGAAAATCATGCTTTAAAGATATCTGTGCATTTATGAAGTGTGCTTCACTCACACAGGTGAGTGGGCTTGGCAAACCACCTGCAGAAACAATTTGTCTATCTCTCTCTTTCTCTCTTGTATGGCTTAATAAAATGTACATGATGAGTAATAAACAAATATGACATACACATACCGGCCACTTTATTAGGTACACCTGTCCAGCTGCTTGCTAACGCAAGTTTCTAATCAGCCAATCACATGGCAGCAACTCAAAGCATTTAAACATGTAGACATGATTAAAGCGATCTGCTGCTGTTCAAACCGAGCATCAGAATGGGGAAGAAAGGTGATTTAAGTGAGTTTGAACGCCATGGTTGTTGGTGCCAGACATGCTGGCCTGAGTATTTCAGAAACTGCTGATCTACTGGGATTTTCACGCACAACCATCACTAGGGTTTACAGAGAATGGTCCAAAAAAGAGGAAATATCCAGTGAGCGGCAGTTCTGTGGGCGCGAATATCTTGATGCATGAGGTCAGAGGAGAATCGTCAGACTGGTTCCAGCTGATAGAAAGGCTATGGCCTCTACAGTCACCAGAGCACAATCCAATAGAGCACCTTTGGGATGTGTTGGAACGGGAGATTCGCATCATGGATGTTCAGCTGACAAATCTGCAGCAACTGCGTGATACTATCATGTCAATATGGAGAAAAATCTCTGAGGAATATTTCTAGGAACTTGTTGAATCTATGCCATGAAGGATTAAGGCAGTTCTGAAGGCAAAAGGGGGTCCAACCCGGTACTAGGAAGGTGTACCTAATAAAGTGGCCAGTAAGTGTATTTACATAATAAGAAAAAAAAGAAATCCACATTTATTCCAGTTTATTGTGGAACATGGGCACCACCATTGTTTTTGATTACATAATTTGGGTGCTCCACCACAGCTGCTCTATCAATTCCCATTATAAACACAGCAAAACAAAACAAAATGCTCCAACTCTGCCACATAGGGTGCTCTTGGTTGTCATTTTAAGTCATGACCTTTTTATTTTTTCCCCTCAAGGAGAAAAATAATTACTTGAAACACGTTCAGATGTCGAGTGAAATTTTTACTTTGAGAAAAACAGCAGATAATAAACATGCAGATCCTTGTCAACATCCTGCATCTCGTCTTCACTCCTGCATCAATACTTTATAACTGGGGTTTATTCCTGTCAGATGTGGAAGTCATTACATTCATTCATTCATTTTCCTTCAACTTAGTCCCTTTATTTATCAGGGGTCACCACCGTGGAATGAACCGCAGCTTATCCAGCATATGTTTTACACAGTGGATGCCCTTCAAGCTGCAACCCGGTTATGGGAAACACCCATACACACTCATTTACACACATATGCCACAGCCAATTTAGTTAATTCAATTCACCAATAGTGTATGTGTTAGGACTGTGGGGGAAACTGCAGCACCTGGAGGAAACCTATGCCAACATGGGGAGAACATGCAAACTCCACATAGAAATGCCAACTACGTAGCCCAGCCGGGACTGGAACCAGCGACCTTCTCACTGTGTTGCTCCATAATCACATCATTAGATTAATAGTCATCATGCCTCAAATTCCTAACAGACACTGTAATAATTCAGCTTGCTTTGTGGGCTGTGATGTAAAATAAACACTAGTAGCTGTTTTAAACAAGAACCAGCCAAGTACATCTCAACACAACTGCATATTCCCATTAAAAAATACATCCCAGCTGTGCACACGCCAGCTCAAAACCCACTGCAATGTCATAAATGTGAGTGTTTGGACACACACTGACCCCTGTGTGTGACAACGGTACAATGTTATGGACGTAATCATTCTCAGCTCAGACAGACTGCCTACAGGCATACAGAACCCTGGACA